AAAACGAAGTGGCTGATATCCCAGTGAGTAGCCTCCAGGCTGTTTCGGCTGTGGGGCCGTCCAAGGTTAGACCGGTTTGCCGCACCCCGGAACGCCAAGCTCCCGTCGTACGTAACACTCCTGCCGACTCCAGGAGCCTGGGTCATGGTCGCTTTGCTAACCCCGTGGACCCACTTAGTTGTGTACGCCTTTCCTCCCTTCCGGCTAGCTCACCGGGCACCGGGGAAAACTTCGACAGGTGAACACCTGCATATTATCATTGGTCACACCCAATTCTGCCGGAAATGCTAGTCGAAACACCAGTAGTGCTTCTGGACTTACCGGACCTGCTGTCCCAACCGGACGGCGCACTACCAACGAGCCCAGCGGGTATCACTCACACACATAGAGGCTCTCAGTAGACCCGCACATATGAAAGCTTTATCTGAGTGGGTTGCCAACGTCCTGGCCAGGGCAAACAGGGATTCCACCAATGCGGCCTACATCTCTAGGTTGCGAGCATACACGAGCGGAAGGGAGATTGATCCATACCATCCCTCTATTGGCCATGTAGCAGGCTCCTTCGTCCACCTGTTTGATGAAGTGGGTTTGTCCTATGCAGCGATCGTTACCTACAGGTCGGCCTTGTCCCCCACCATTGAGAACGTGTGGGAACAAGACTAGCCGATTGTCCTATTATTAGAAGACTATTTACTGCTTTCCAGACGCTGAGACCCCATACAAGGGAACTGCCCAACTGGGACTTGTCGGTTGTGTTGTCCGCTCTAAGCAGACCGCCCTTTGAGCCTCTCTGATCAGCACCACTCAAATTTTTTGATGTGGGAAAATAGTCTTCCTAGTGGCCCTCGCCTCAGGTAGGCGTTGTAGCGCTGGTCTAAGTCCTTGAGGCGGAGAGAAAGGAACCAGAGTGATTAGCCAGCCGTATTGGCGCCACCATATGGCCTTGGTCACGTGGTATGTGACGTAAGGGAAAAGAATCTTGGGGTCATGAGGCTTCCCCTGACCTAGATTCTATTTCTCCATGATTGGCAGAATCGCTGATTAATGCCTACAGTTCAAAATAGTCATTTTGACTGACAGGGAGTCTATGGTGGGTATGAACTATGTGAATAGGTGGGTTCGGAGAACCCTCTGCCTAAATAATGTTGAATGAATGCAAATATGGTTTTTTGAAGAGCGGTATTTAAATTATATTGTTTTTGTGTTGCAATGTACAATAATTTAAAATATCTTTGTATTATTCCTATGCGTCTATCGTTGCTCGTAACAACACTAACTTCATTTATCATGTTGTTTTTATATTAAAGTATCCGGTGATCAATGGAGATAGTATTTATGCTGCTGATTATCAGCTTACTAACATATTCAGAGACTACATGGATAGAAATGGTGAGTAATACAACAATAATCTCTTCTGCCATAGTTCAGCAAGTGGTTTTACACAAGCCATCAGTGTGAGTGTAATTAATTAATACATCATTTACTGAAAGCCCCCACAGACATATCAATGGGGAATCAATGGGTGTCAGCAGGCGATGTATTAATTAAATGAAAGGTCAATGCTGTAATGGCTGTAGTTTATTTATGTAGGTGATTGCTCCTTGAAAGTATATACAATAGTAAAATTTAAAGATGCATTATTAGAGCACTTTGATACACCATGGGAGATCTCTGATTCATTGTAAGAGTACCATAATGTACCATGGGAGTACTGCAATGCACCCCCAAATTTTTCAGGGTACATTCATCTATACACATGACCTACGTTATTGCTGGGCTCACCCTTTGAAAAACAATTTCATTTTAAAGATTTATTATGTGGCAAATAAACTTTCAAGATTTCAGTTTCAGTGGAAAACAAAAGTGAAATCCAAAATGCATGCATAGTGGGAATTACTTCTTGTTCACAACACCTCAAGAAAGCGAAGTATATCTTAATTAAATATACAATTGTGGTGGCTACTTTAACAAATCTGTATTGTTATAATTTCAGAGAGTACTACGTTTGTGAGTGCATATCCAGTATGGGTCAGCGGCAAAGGTGCTGGTAAACCATTTATTATTCAAGCTACTATCAGATATCCAGAAGAAACTATTCTGTATCCTTATTGTTTCAACTACATTGAAGTTGTACTCTGAGATATTACTTTTATACTTGTTGATTTTAGATTTGTTACATTTGCACTCCAGTACTCACACTGTACAGTGTTTCTTCGTTGTATCATCATACAAACCTCATAACAGGATTGTACTGCTTCCTTAATCAAGTTTTGCTCAGATACTATCCAGGGTTTTGGCAGCTGATCAAGTTGGCATGGATACAGTACTTGGCTGTTCTTCTTATCTTTATATTTATCTTTGGGAGACTCAAGACATTTGTTTTCCAGAATCACATCCTTCAAGCGGCAATTGAACGACCATTCAAACTACGATCGGAGTAACTTCAATGTGTATGCCAAGTACAACATTTATCTGCATTGTAAATCACAGCAGGACTCTCTGGTAGAGCTGTGAAGATAGGTTAAAGTGCCAATGTTCACCATGCAGCACGTGTTTGAATTTCGGGTAAACAATGTATTTGACATGTGTTGTACATGTTGAATGGGACCCAACGACTGTGGGTGGCATTTTGATTTGTATGTATCGCTGCTGATAAAATAGAAATTGAATGGCAATTTTATTAATATTGATTCTGGAATGTTAGCTAAGCATGCAAATAATGGTACATGTGGTCTACCAACACATAATTTACAAAGGAAGGATATTTTTTTGGAGCATACTGTGGAATACTTTATTTTCACTGGAATTAATTTTCGCTATTTTCACTGATTTTGATGAGTTTAATATGAAATATAGGAAAAAAAGTATATTCGCTGGATTTTATTTTCACGGAATCATCCCTTCAGCGAAAATAGCGAAAATAAATTCCAAGCGAAAATAAAGTATTCTACAGTATACCAATTCTATTAATGTACTGAAAACCGTTTTTTTTGCTACTAGTAATTTTTGCGGTTTGATAATTTGAAGGTATTAGTGAAGACAAAATTTTGCCAAGTTGCTGAACTTTCATACAAAATTTGTTTTCTAGACACTTGTTTCTCTCACCAAACATTACTTATTTGCATGATTAGCATACCAGTCAGAAATTTAAAGAGTCAAGTCATGATGTATGAATGGCTTAATGAGAATTGTAACATTTTATTTTTACCTGTCCATAAAGATATTACTGTACATACTATTTATAACTTCTGTACTAATGATAACTACATTATTAGCACCATTTTACAGTGTAAATTATACTGTTGTCACTTAATGTATTGCAATATTATTAATTGTAATCTACAAAGATTATGTTGCTTTCAGTAAATTTGGGACTTGACTACACAAAATAAAAAGAGACTAAATTAAAGTGCTCAGAATGTTCAAACTACCCTTGTATCACACTCTGAGATAACAATTAATCATTAGTAATTATTACATCAGGGGGTTCCTTTAATTAATAATTTATTTAAAAATGTATCATATTGTTTAATTTCATAAACTTACTTTAATTTAAAACAATTGATAACTAGCAAATTCAAATTGGTCATTGCACATTCAATAATATCCCTCACTCTGACTATGAGATGCTAGAATGACATTTAAATATACATTTTTAAAATTCCCCTTGATTGGCTGAATACCACATTGGTGATAACCATGGTACAAATTGGATAAACCATGTCTAATTGATTGCACACCACTCATGATAACACTTACCCGGTATGTTTATATGCCTTGGTCATCACATATTATTTAAATTTAAAAAAGATAATATTTTTGACAATCATCTCACAAATCATTGTCGCATGTTTTGTAAACAATGAACAAGTAACTTCAAAATACAAAACTTGATTATCAAATTTTCTTTTAATCCAGATATTGTGAAAAAAACTACGGTAATATATTTGGCACTTGTGTCATTTAGTAGTAAATGTATTTTGGACCACTGTATTTTTCTCAAACAATTCAACCACCTTGAAGAAAATGACCACATTCAAATGATATCAGTAAATGTGTTCACCTGTCTTCCGTTTTTATGACTACTTGCTTTGCTTCACTTGCTTCTTTCCCCCTTATGCACTGGCCTTTCTGCGTTTTGAAACATTGGCATGTTTAACCTTTTCACTACCAGACTTTCTTGCCCAAATTTTCACTGCACTTTTTAGCTCCGCTGTCGACTTTGTCGAGCGAAGCTTATCATACGAGTGATTGTCCGTCGTCGTCCGTGTCAATGTTTTACTTTTTCTTGAAAACTACAAGCCTGAATGTTTTGATACTTGGTGTATATGTACCTTGGGTAGACCTCTCTCAGATTTGTTCATCTCATGATCATATCTTCAATTCTCTAATTTTGGTGAATATTTTCGACTTCTTGTTAAAAACCGCAAGTGCAACTGCTTTGATATTACATATATAGGTACTACATGTGGATCTCTCTCAGATTTGTTCATTTTGTAATGATATCTTTAATTCTCTATTTTAATTTTGGTGAATATTTTTGTAATTTTTGGTAAAAAGTGATATTTTCAACTTCTTGTTAAAAACGGCAAGTCCAATTGCTTTGATATTACATATATAGGTACTACATGTGGACCTCTCTCAGATTTGTTCATTTTGTAATGATATCATTAATTCTCTAATATTGGTGAATATTATTGTCACTTTTGGTAAAAAGTGATATTTTCGACTTCTTGTTGAAAACGACAAGTCCAATTGCTTTGATATTATTACTTATATAGGTACTATATGTGGACCTATCTCAGATTTGTTCATTTAGTAATGATATCTTTAATTATCTAATTTTGGTGAATATTTTTGTCATTTTTGGTAAAAAGTGATATTTTCTTCTTGTTAAAAACCACAATCATTTATGGTGAAAAATTATATTTTTGAATTCTTGTTGAAAACCGCACGTCCCATTGCATTGATACTATGCATATTGTTCATTTTCTAATGATATCTTCTGTTCTTTAATTGAAATGTACATTGCTAACAGCGGAGCTATCTCAGCCGAGAGGCTGCTTGTTTCTCATATTCTTCAATATTTCTGGAAATGAACTCTAATTTTGGAGTCAACAGACAAAATTTGAGTCAATGTTTAGTTTTACTCCAAAAATATAATTTTATCCTAATCTTCTGAACAAATATAAACAGAAGTACTTTGGGATGAAAAGTGGGAGCTGGTGGTTTATTTTACAGTCATGTCACCACTGAATAAACACACGCTAGAGCCTAAAAAAATGTTTCTGGTCAGCATGTACACCACCACTACCCTGGTAATCTTTTTCCCCCCAATTATTTTGCAACTGCACAGCTCTCTATTGACAGTGATGAAACCTGCAAAATGTGTATGGTGTAGAAATATTTTAGCAAAAAAAAAATGTCTTCCTGCTCTATTTTTGAAAAGTTTACCATTTTTATGAGAGGCCTAATATTTCAACCACTCAGGCACCTACATTTTGGCCAAGATTACAGAATTAGTTTTGTATCAATGACTTACGGGCATCTACTTCTATAGATACCAGTACACTTTTAAGTCTTATTGTGATCTCCACGGGTCACACATCCTGGTACTTTGATGTGAAATGTTGTTTGATCAGTTTCATGCAATATTGCACCTTTTTTTTGAGAGGATTAATTTTAAAGCAAATCAAATTAATAATATATGTAAAAATGTAAATGTTGCTACCGGTAATTACCAATGAAGATTTGTAAAATATTTGATACATTTTCTAGAATGCATTTTAAAATAAGTAAATAAATCCATTTAGACTTTTCATATCTTGTATGTCTTTATTTGTTATCTGTGAACATGTGAATAGTCCAAAGTCTGTACTAGCCAGTTTGTTAGTGTCACACAACACTTGGAATACTGGAAACAAGTGGTTTATGTTCTCTAATCATCAAGTGACTAATACTGGTATGTGTCATGACTGTTGTGAATTGGGGTAAGTTTCAAATTGTTTTTGTGAATACACATAGCTTAATTTAGAGTTAGTATTTTGATCATATATACCTTGCCATAACTAGGTTATTGCATATTACCATGACAATTTTAAAACACCAATTCAAGACAGCCATGATACTAGGAAAATGTTGGTCTAAATTTGGTACATTCTGTAGAGAAAATATTTATTTGTAATGTTTTGATTGGTATTAAGAATATGTGATCATGTGACATCAGTCCGAGTATAAAAATATCACAATATGTAATGAAAACCAAGATTAGTTTCAGTAAAATAAAGCTATCTAGTTCTCTACAATGCTATGTGTGCCTGAATTTCCACTGCTGATGATTTTATCTGTTATCCTTAATAACTATGGTCTGTTGGGGATAACCATCCAGGTCAACAAAAAGATAGCGGTAATCATACACGCCTGAGGAACTCTAGAAAGAAACAAACAAAAAAACACAAAGAAATGACTTAAAAAATCAGGACAATTTTGCCAGTCTTGGTCATGTGACCTATTGTTGAACGATACCATTTTGTTATAAGAAATAAAATGCTTGTAGGAATTATGAAAAACTGGTTTTGAATGGACAGAAATACAACTAAAAATCATAGCCTTGCGTTTGTTGTACTTTGATGTGGGATGAAAAAACTGGCAAAGTCAGAAATTTGAGTTATTTATTGATACCGGTAGTAAATTTATTCCTACTGAAAATGATGTTTAAAAATGAACATGTATTCCCGTATGTTACTTGTATGTGCCAAATATGAACGAAAATGGTCCATAAGCCTGGGAAATATACGGTAGTATGGTTAAAAAGTAAGAAGGCCACCAGTCAGCCATTTTTGATCTGATTATGAAACAAATCGTCACATACATGTATAATGTATGTACCAAATTTTAACAAAAACTGACGAAGCATGCATAAAATACCACATTTTCAAAAAAACAAAATGACTGCAAATCGGCCATCTTTAATCCGATTTTGAAACGAATCGTCATTGACATGTATAATGTCTGACCCAGACATGTATAATGTATGTACGAAATTTGAACAAAAACTGACAAAGCATGCATAAGATATCATATTTTCAAAAATAAAATTGGCTGTCAGTCAGCCATCTTGAATTAAATCAGTAAACCACTGCATGTGCACATGTCCCAGGATAAAGTACACAATAACACATGCAAAGAATGAACAGATTTGGTCCACAGGGTTCTGAAATATGATGAACAGACGGAAGGAGACCGAATTATAAGTCCCTGTTTCGAACTTCATTTGAACAGGGGACTAATAAAGGTCTTAGGTCAATACAACTTTAATACAAAAATGGTAGTGTAGATTCTAATGAAATGCAATAAAATAAATAACCAATCACCTTCTTCATTTCCAAGTTCACAGTTCCTTTTCTAAATCTTCCCTGAATGTAGAATTTCATTCTGAGGTAACCTACTCCTTCTTTTTCATATTCCAAATGACTGAAAGAAAAATGGGTAATTTTAACAGAATGGCAATTTTTTTTTTATTGGTGTAGCTACCTATTTTATTGGTAAGCCCAATGATAAGTTCTCTAAAATGGGTATAGAGGGTGTGCATGCACCCTCAGGACTTCAAGCTTACCCATGCACTGGTAGTCAAATTTTGATGGTTTTAGGTATATACTCACTTTTGAATCTTGAATCTGATATTATGGGCAAATCCAGAGTTTCAATTTCTGATGTGTTAAATTAATGGTCTTATTTTTGGCAATTTTACGGTATTTACAGTCAAAGCTGTGCATAGTGACCACCCAAGGGACTTCATTAAAATGGTCTTCATAGACAGGTGGTCTGTATTGGGAAGTTGGAATATTATGTTGCACATCACCAACTTATACATTTGGTATAATAATTTTTGTCCATAAAATAATGAGATGGCAAAAAAAAACATTTACTGTATGAACAAATCCACAAGTACCCTCTATTCATTCACCAATTTGGTTGACAGACAGTCCAGTACCTCAGCGAACTATTTTTAAAACCCCAAAAATCAGATTGATGACCAATAAATCTGAATGGTTTATGTGAGGTTCAGATTTATTTTATTATTTTCTAATTTTATGTTATTTGTTTTTACTACGGTACCATACATACATTTTATTCTGAGTTATTTCAACTATCCCACATGCCTTTTTTGATTATTAAAGTTTATAAACTACCCGGTACTAGTATATAAATAATAAATTAAATTAAAACTAAATTAAATACATGAAAAACAATAATACCAATAATACAATTTTAGAAATGGCTCAAACTAGGATCTTAGTTCAATCAAATTGAAAGGTGTGTCTTCTTAATACCTTACATGTTTTCTCCAACCTCTCCTAGTTGTCTCACCATATGCTTTGATAGGTACACCTACCGAATCAATGACCTACAAAAAACATAGCCAATCAATTAATGCATTGCCTTCCCAGGGGTCATCAAGTGAAGAGCCCAATTACAGATCCAAGAGTACCAATTGTATATTTAGGTTTTGCGAAGCAGAAACCGCAGGAGAAAAACAGCCCAGCCTATACAAAAATGTACATGTGTTAATTAGTACATGCATTTTGAGTGTTGCATTAAGGTAGAGATGCAGTTTATTTTGCAAATTTTGACAAATTTCACTTTGTTTTATTTTTCATGGCATTGTATGAACATCTGTATTCTGTGAAAATTTGAAATTAAAATCATTAGTGGAACTCTGTTGAATCCAATGGTGATGTAAATCAGCATATATTTTTACTTAACTATAAAATATGCAAATTAGCAATTATCTCAGCTTCTTTTTAGTGCACATCTCAGAAAAAAATAGCTCCTAGACGCTTTGACCTTTTCTTTTGAAATTTTCACAACTGATTGACAATGTGTTTATCTTCAAAACGTCATTGGGGCATTGTTTTTGGTTGAACAGTGTTACAAAAATCGTACAGACAACTAGCCTGGGTGTTAATTTATGCATAAACTTGAATCAGTGAAATTTGAGCTGCTGCCCTGCAAAATTGACAACTGGTAGACAGTTTTCAAGACAGCACTTTCTTCATAGTAAACAGATGTACCTGTAAACCAATTTTAACAGGAAACAGAGGCTAATTTTTTTTAAATTACTTTTGACCAAAAAAACACATTTTTGTGCATAATTCAAACCACAGTTTCCATAAAACAAAATACTTACAAAATTTCAAAATTCATACAATAAGCTTTCCGAAAATATATAGTTTTGTTG